AACTAAATACAGTAAAATACGTTAGCAAGAAATTTGGCAATAAAAATGCAGAGCATTCTTAAATGTCAGAAGGCAATTTCAGGAAAGAGAGGTAATTTTAAAATATTACGTTATCAGTCAAAGATATTTTAAAAAAATGCTAATACAGCTTTTCTATTTAAGCTACCGTTAAATAATCAATGTGCTTATGTATATATTATTGTTCTTGAAAAAAAAAATCATCTGGTTTTATAATGTTCTTTAAGCTTGGATAAATATAAGATGGTATGTGCATCTTGCGGAAATGATTATAACCATATTGAAAAAATGATCATCATACTTTTGATTATTATTTTGGTAATAAATTAATTTATTGTCTAATCATATCCTATAAATGACTTGCATGGACAGATCTATGTCAGCATATGCCCGCACACCACAACGTGACATACACTTTCACATAGGAAATCAGCGCAATGACGTTGGACACAATACATGATGTTGGTGAATTTCATTACACGCAAGCATACACACCTGAAGTGACGTCAGCACATTCGAAACGATGCATTATGTTGATACAGATTTGTAATGAGGATGTTGAGAATCCCCTCCTTCCTTCTAAACATCATCGTTACTATTCTAAATTGTAGTCGCGTCACAGTCACAAAAATTTACAGTTTTCCATCACACTTTACCCAACTCTAATTCTGCTAGTTGACGCTGAATGAAGCTTTTTTTTTTCGTTTTCTCTAGACAAAAATAAAATTGGATTTTTTAGGGATTTCAGAGTAATTTAACAAAAACTTTGTTGATGTAAAGCACCAATATGTAGTTGTAATTATGATATATAATCGTTATTTTGGAGTGGAGTTATAATTTTTTATGTTTAAGATGCCAGCCTTGTAATCCCCATGGTCCTGATTCGAGTCATGTTTGATACCACAAATAAAATTTTTAGTGCATTATTTTCCAATTTTATGAGTATACTTGTTGGTAATATGAGGCAGCCATCCCAAAACTTCAGGGATGGCTTAAACTGAGTAATTAGCATAAGAATGTTGCAGTATTGTATACTTTAGCCCAGAGAAGCCATAATGCTTTAACTCATTGGAAATTAACAAGTTGATTCTTCTAAATGACTCATCATTTTAAAGCTTATAATGTGGAGATTTGTGAATATATTAAAAAGTAAATTTTCTTTTTTGGTCACTGATACTGTCATGTGAGGGCAAGCCTCATGTGAACAAATTATTCAAATGAGATTAAAATTGATTGAAAAGAAGGAATAATAGACATTGCTATGGAATTGATTTGAAAAAAATATATATTTTAAATCCTAATATGTTTTTTTTTTAAATTAAAATTTGTCTAACCTATTCAAAAGTAAGGTATTAGGTACAGTAGAACCTCGATTTTACGTACGGTACAGGACCGGAGGGCATACGTAAATCGGGGGATTCGTAAAATAGAGGTTGGGTTAAATTTGTGGTAACCTTTGACCTAATACGTACGTAACGCTCAATAAACGTATGTATGAATGAACGATGTTTACCTAGGCTAGACCTAGCCTCTAGGCCTACGAATAAAACCACGTGTTTAGTGTATTTATTCATCACTTTACGATGTCATAATAAAGTGTTCAAATAAAACCATGTGTCTAGTGTATTAATTCATCACTGTATATCTTTGTATTAATTCATCACTTTATATCTTTTATTTAACTAAAGAACATGAAAATATTGTAAGATTACCTATACAACAAAGGTATAACTTGGGAATTCCCCTTCATGCCTATTATCAGGGCCGGCGGAACGTTTTTCAAAGTGGGGGGGCCCACTTATAAGATGAATGGAAATATGAATCATGCAGATCTGGAAAAACCTAGGGGATGGGGGTCAACATTTTTCCCAAAAAGTAAAGGGGATCCGGGCGTCCTCCCCCGGGAAAATTTTGATTTCTAGATGGCGGGAAATTACCTTTCTCGACTTTTAAGCTAGGGTTCTAATGACTTTGTTCTTCCAAATTCATGGTTTCCAAAGAATATGGGGGGCCGGGGGTCCTCCCCCGGGAAAATTTTTATTCCTAGAAGCGGGATGACCTTTCCCGACTTATGAGGTGTCTTTTAAGTTCTTTAAAATTCAAGGTTTTCTCCTCTTGAAAACAGTCAGGTAAATTTATCGCATTGTTATTACAGTAAATAGGCCTTATGTGTGTATACATGCATAAAAAAGAAATGAGTAGTTGCATACAATTTTTTCCATGAATCCATAAATCCCAAAAAGAAAGGGGGTCCGGGGGTTCTCCCCCAGGAAAATTTTGATTCTTAGAAGGCAAGAAATGGGTTTTCCCGACTTCTGAGGTGTCTTTTAATTACTTTTAAGTTCTTTAAAATTCAAGGTTTTCCCCTCTTGAAAATGGTCAGGTAAATTTATCGCATTGATACTACAGTAGATAAGCCTTATGTATGTATACATACATACATAAAAAAAATGAGTAGTTGCATATGATATTTTCCATGAATCCACAAATCCCGAAAAGAAAGGGGTGTCCGGGGGCTCTCCCCCGGAAAAATTTTGATTCTTAGAAGGCGGGAAATGGGTTTTCCCGACATCTGAGGTGTCTTAATTACTTTTAAGTTCTTTAAAATTCAAGGTTTTCCCCTCTTGAAAACGGTCAGGTAAATTTATCCTATTGTTATTACAGTACATAGGCCTTATGTGTGTATACATACATAAAAAAATGAG